AAAGTGCAGTTATGAGTGTTCCAAAATAACATTTTGTAGGTGTAAGATAAAAAAAAAAGACTTACCCCAGTGTCTCATATTCTTTTTTTTTTTGGGGTGTAAGACCCATCTCTTTCTCACCCACCCACACTCGGTGAAATAGCACATGGTGGGCTTTAATAAATAAAAGGATAAAGCTGTGCAGATGATTAAATGGTGGTTTCAGTCACACTAATACGAGGTGTTTGAGTAATGGCGTCCCGTCGTGAACAGGTGGGAGTGGGTTGATGCAGAGCCAGCACCTGGACACAGACCTTACGTGTGTGTTCATCCAAACCCAACTGCTGGGAAACATTTATTACCGGCCTGTTGTTCTTGGACCTCTGCACCTGCTGTGAACAATGCCCCATTCTCTCCCTCTCTCCCTCTCTCTCTCTCTCTCTCCCTCTCTCTTTCTCTGGTGACAAAATGAGAACAACTTCATTTCATGTTTATTTCACCTCATGCAGTGTTAATACATGAGTGCCAGATCAGTGGTGTCATCTTTTGTGCATGTTATTAATAACGGCAGTTCTTTTCGTAGATTATTTGTGTTAAAATGATCTTTGTTAAGCCTGGAAGTTACCAGTCCTAGAGGTCTGCAGAGGCATTGTATTGACGCCGAAACCCAGAGGGTAAATAAGACCTTGCCACCGACCTGACCCAACCCAATTTTAAAATGGAGCACATGGTTCAATATAGTTGCTTCAATATATCACTTCTGTTGCCCTTTTTATTTCTTTATTGTCTTTATAGCATTTGCTGGATTTGCTGTTAATGGCAATTAAAGTCGGGGAAGTCGTGGCCTAATGGTTAGAGAGTCGGACTCATAACCCAAAGGTTGCGGGTTCGAGTCTCATACCGGCAGGGATTGTAGGTGGGGGGAGTGAATGTACAGCGCTCTCTCCCACCTTCAACGGTATGTAATATTCCTGTAATATTTTTGTGGTACTTCAGTCATATTTCTGCAGTAATACTAGGAATTTCCTGTAATAAACCTGTGGTCCTTAATTGTTATATTTTTGCAGTATTCTGTGGTATTCCTAAATTATTCCTTTAAAGTTAGTGTAGCATTCTATGGTATTCCTGCAAGAAAAGTGTTGTTTGTCCATGATAAACCTGTGGTATTACTTACATCCATCTCATAATCTGAAAATATATGTAGTAAACATGCAAGACAAGACTTCAGTGGTCACAAGTTGATATACAGGGCCTTATTTATAAAGTGTGCAAATGCACAAATTTGATCTTAGAGTGTACACTAAAATTCATATTTATAAAAACATGGAAGCAGATGTACACACTTTTGCTTATTCGAGTGCAGCAGGGTTTTGGAAATCTAAGCTATTCTTGCAGCTTGCTATTCTAAGGTAAAGGATTTTGATGTTGACTGGTGCTATTTTATATGTTAATGACATTAATTAGGGTTCATTTACAAGGCAGTGATCTGAAACCATTCAGCTGCACACATTTTCATAATCAAAGAGAGGCGTATGCAAGTTTTCTGTGCATACATTCGTTCTATGAATCACACGTACGCACATTAGAGAAACAGTCGTAAGATCAAATGTAGGAAGGTTTCTACTCAGCATTTTATAAATGAGCCCCAGAAGGTAAATTACTGCAGTAGGTCATGTTAGAATGTGACATACCATAAACACTTGTGGTATTACAGTTCAAAACATTTTATTCACAACACATGCCATCACATCTTTATACCCTACAAACTATGGTAAAAGCACAATGACATAAAACAAAATTAGTACATCATGCGGCTGCTAAGCTTGTGCTCATTTGAGAGTTTGTTGCGAGCTGCTTCTTTTAAGGATCTTGTATCCACATCAGGGTAAGCACATCTCACCTTTCCTGCAAGGGAAAATTGGACAGCTTAGAAGAGATAGAAATTTTGATTCTTTCAAGAGATTTGTTCATTTTCAGTTCATTCACCAAAAAAAAAAAAACTGATTCATTCAGTGACCATTTCTTCTTATGCCATGGTCTGTCTGAATACTCGATTCTGATTGGCTGGCAGGTGTTGATTAAATTCGTTTAACTGCACAGGTAGTTCCAGGTCAGTTTAATCACGTTCTATATTAATGCGCTTCCTATAAACACCGGTAACCATAGTAACATAGAGTTACAGTTGAATAGTAATACAGAGTGAGACAGTTACAGTAAACATTTTCGATTTACTTAGCTAGGATAAATGGATGATTTTCGCGTGCCATTTAGCTTATACGGTCATTATGGCAATTTTGATAAATGGGCAGAGGCACAAGATGAACTGGACGAACTGGAGAATATAACATCAAACGAGAAATGTAAAGAAAAACAATACAAGGAAATAACACCAGCAGATTGAAGACGACAAGGATGAGGTTAATACAAAAAAAGACTACTAAATGGGCAATTACCACATTCAAAGACTTTTTGTATCAGAAGAAATAAAATGATGCTGTTGAGACTTACTCGGCTTCTGAACTTAATGAGACATTGCGAGAATTTTATGCCTCTGTTCAGACTACCGGCCGCGAATACAGTGTTGCAAGCCTGAAGTGTATCAGAGCGGGTATTAACCGTTACATCACAAAACACAACATCATAAATGATAAAGACTTTAAATCAAGCAATGCCATCTTTAAATCAATTATAAAGCGCTACAGGAATAATGGAAAAGACACCAGCGTTCATCCCCCTCGTATCACGGAGTCTGACCTGGAGAAAATTAAAAATTCACCTGCGCTCTCCCCATTCACACCCATCGGGCTTGTACGAGCTTATACGGTCATTATGGCAATTTTGATAAATGGGCAGAGGCACAAGATGAACTGGAGAATATAACATCAAACGAGAAATGTAAAGAAAAACGGTACAAGGAAATAACACCAGCAGATTGAAGACGACAAGGATGAGGTTAATACAAAAAAAGACTACTAAATGGGCAATTACCACATTCAAAGACTTTTTGTATCAGAAGAAAAAAAATGATGCTGTTGAGACTTACTCGGCTTCTGAACTTAATGAGACATTGCGAGAATTTTATGCCTCTGTTTATATATATATATACCATACACTGTATATATACACACTAGCAAGTCTGGAAGGTGTTTTCCAAAGGTCTGCAGGGTCAAACGTGCCTGTAGTTGAAGAAAATCTCCCATGTACCCCATCAGGTTTAATAATTATAGCAGGTTTAATTTCTAACTCTATGGTGTGCCTTTTCTTTTAATAATCTGAACATTATTTATAATGTGTTAGTCTGTTAGACTTAATTACATGTACAAATGCTAATGGAGCGTAAAGAAGAGCTCTCCTTGGCACACATACATCTTGTCACAAAACTCGTCTGAGTGTGAAAGTAAAAAATAGCCACATGGGGGAGCGTCTTGTGTGATAAATGGATTTCTGTGCTTGTAGATTTTCGTGCAATCAATTACTTGGCTTGGAATACCTAACCATGGCACATAACCCAGAAACAAAAAAATCACAAAGATCCTACTGCATCTGACAGAGATAATTTATGAGGATTTATGTTTGAGTGCCCCGGTGACCCACTTTGTCCCATGGAAAGCTTAAAGCAATACCTGTCAAAGTGTCCTGTCAACGCCGGAGCCTTTTATCTGCATCCCAGGCGCATCCCTTTGTGCAAACTCGAGGACACTGAAGTGTGGTTTACCAGGGAGCCGATGGGAATCAACTACCTCGGCAATATGCTAAAAAATATTTGTGAAGAGGTAGATAATATATTTAATAGATATAACATTTTTCACCCTATGAATTCAAACTGTTTGTAGATAACCTGTAATATTTTCCAAATCTAAATTCTCTTTCAGGTGGAAGGTATCACTGAAATTTACACAAACCATAGTTTATGGAGCACTGCCGTCAGTCGCCTCTCTGACGCCGGACTGGAGAGTCGCCAGAACATGTCAGTGACAGGCCACCGATGCGAGGCTAGTTTGCGGTCATATTGAGCTCCGTCTTTGTTAGGAGAGGAGGGCGTGGTGTGACATTCTTACATCTCGAGCCTCAACAAGCAAAGATCCATCCTCCTCCACGCCTAAACCTAAAATAACCCTACCCTTTTCCATGTCTAATTTCACAATCAATGGAAATATGCAGTTAAACATCCATTAAGTACACTAATAAAATAAACTTTCAGCTAGGCTTTTAGATTTTTTTTTCTCGTTTTTATCTAATTAAATGCATTTCATTAAACTTAATGTAGCACTGCTTTATTTATTTGTCTTTATTTTGAATGGGGAGAACTGATGTATTTGAATAACTATTGTAGTCTCATAACTATTTATTATAATTCATTCAAATAAATTCAATTTTGCCACCCAACCGTGTCTGAATTACATTCAGGAGCACATAAGCTGTTGTCAACACTGCCCTGTGCCTGGTTTAATAATTATAGCAGGTTTAATTTCTAACTCTATGGTGTGCCTTTTCTTTTAATAATCTGAACATTATTTATAATGTGTTAGTCTGTTAGACTTAATTACATGTACAAATGCTAATGGAGCGTAAAGAAGAGCTCTCCTTGGCACACATACATCTTGTCACAAAACTCGTCTGAGTGTGAAAGTAAAAAATAGCCACATGGGGGAGCGTCTTGTGTGATAAATGGATTTCTGTGCTTGTAGATTTTCGTGCAATCAATTACTTTATCAAGAGACTTTCTTTTCTGGGCCTGAACATCTGCTGCGTTCTCATTCACTTGCTGTGGCAAGTAATAAGAGGAAATGTGACTTTAAATGTGACTGATATCAGCTTTTGGCCTCAAACTCTGGGAAACCTCAAAAACTTTTCTGAATTCCGATTTCAGCTGACTCCAAGTTAACAGCTATTATTCTAGTGCAGGCAAACAAACATTTTGTTGGCACACTCAGATCTACAGTATATTAGATTGATTTAGAGGTATCTCTTCTGGCTTGGTGTGTAAACATTAGCTTTTGTATTTACTCCTCTTTTTACAGGGTTACCTGCCTGCTAATGCAGAGCGGAGAGAAAGCACATTACAGAGGAAGCGGCAGGAATACTTTGGCTTTATTGAGCAGTACTACGACTCCCGTAATGACGAGCACCATCAGGACACATACAGACAGGTAACATTTATGCTTCCATGCCTCTTTCCATGATTAGAAACGAACCGGTGTTCTGTTACTCTGTAATATTAGCATTAGCTCTGTAAATTCCCATATTTTTGATTTTAGAACTGTAAGATATGTTAGGTAAGATGTTGTCTAATCTAAAATGAACATATAGTTCAAAGTAGCTAGTTTAAAACACAGCAAATGTGTATCACCCCCTTAAAATATTGTCCCACCGCAATACCGTTGATGATCTCGAGTGTGTCCAACGAATAAAATCATGCAGCGTCATAATTTTGACATAATCTGTTGAATTGTTTTTCAATTGAAGTTGCAATAATTAACATTAAATGTGTTTTTTTTTTTTTTTTAGCTGTCCTGCATTCTGCATGCCAGCCTTATTGTGCACAATTTCTGTGCATTACAAAAGCATTACATTACAAACACCTCTCTTTTTTCTAGGGTTTCTGGTAGGGCTGGGTTTTGACACAAATTTCACGATTCGATTCGATTCTCATTCACAAGCTTTCGATTCGATTACCAATTTGATTCGATTCGATTCAATATAAATTATTTTGGATATAAATCAGGTACAGTACATGCCAAATTTTCTCTAAAAAAAAATCTCTCAACTAATGCTGTAAAATATACACGAGAGTCAGTTGGTACTACATTACTATCATAATCCATATGGATAATCAACGGCTAGCTGTGCATTAAACGATTTGAATCGCTGCGCATCGGGTGTTTCTTCGCCTCCACGTCGTGCATTCAAATCGTTTAATGCACAGCTAGCCGTTGATTATCCCTTACATATTACATAAATACGCCAGCAGGTGGCAAAAAAAGGTGCCTTATGTGTTATTATGTCTTAAAGGGGTCATATGATGCTGCTAAAAAGAGCATTATTTTGTGTATTTGGTGTAATGAAATGTGTTTAT